GATCCCATATTTTGACCCTAAAGTCCATACTCAAGACACTACACAATATGGCTAGGGGAGGAACAGATTTGTAGACGAAAATGATGAGCTTCCTTTGAACATGTTAGGGCATTTATGTCAGACTTCTGCAGGTATCTTAAGGAGATACCTGCAGTTCCTCAAAAACTGCTCTTGGTAGGTGTTCTTCCACGTTATGAAACAGGATCAGTTTTGTGGCTTTCCCAGGTATATCCAAATTAGAATCTAGGTGAGGAGTTGGCAAATTTTTCTGTAAAGAGCAGGTTAGTAAATATTTTAGGCGTTGAGGACCATATTAAGGTCTCAGTCTCAAGTACTGAACTATATACTATGGTACAAATGCAGCCAAAGAATGTCTAAGCAAATGAGTGTGGCAGTGTGGCTATGTTCCAACACTACTTTATAGACACGGAAACTTGATTTAAATATTTTCATGTTGTGAAATATTCTTTTGATTTTTCCCAACCACTTAAATAGTCGCTTGTGGACTGTACAAAAACAGGCAGCTCATAGGCTCATAGGCTGTGATCTAGGTGGTTGGATTCAAAACCCTGGAGTGTGCTCACAAAACCAGTAATAACCACAGAAATAAAAATTATAGGATTGTTGTAAGGCCTAAAAGAGGTTATGGCTATAAGGCACTTACTCAAATTCTGGTATTTAGTATAAGCTATCAAAGGTCAATTGTATCTTTCCTGATAAGTCCTTTGTCTTCATTTGGCATTTAGACTCAAGAGATTTAGGAACGGTTTTCATATTGCAGTGTGATGACTCTAACAGTAAGTGGCACTGTTATCTCAAGTTTAGAAGCTGCAGGCATGAAGTAGGCTGGAGAAACTTAGGTGCTGCTTATGATACTGGCTTGTTTTATTCAACAAGTGAAACTTGTTGCCTGTGCCTCTGGCCTACAAACTCTTTTCTCATGGAGAGAACAGGGTATGACTTTTTCAAAATACTTAATATTATGTTGTGGATACAAGTCTTTTGATCAGAGCCTTTCTCTCCGGGACAAGACCTGGGGAAGGCCTCGAACTCTTGGTTAGTACTGAGTGAATGATGGTAGATTCTTCTCTCATTTGCTTAACACACAAGAGAAGGTTTGTTGAAGCTGCTGGTTCCCTGCCCCCACTCTGATTTGGAGTAAGGGAAGATATTCAAAGGATGGGAGTCAGATGGTGTGGTATGGCTGGGCTGACCAGGAATGCATTGTATCAACTACAAGGAAAGATGTCTTTTGGGTCTTTACTGATTTTTCCCATTCATTCATTTGTTCGTTCATTCATTCATGCATTCAACAAACATGAAGATCTGCTATGAATACCAACCAACCGTTAGCCATTCAAAATGAAAATACTGACATGGAAAGATATTCTAGATATGATCAAAGCAAGTTTGTAGGCTGGGTTCTTATTTGTGTCTATGTATATTCAAACTAGAAAAAAAAATGATGTCATGGATGAAGAAATTGAGACCAAGAATGTAACTTGCTATACACCAAGGACACTTCAGCTAGCAAATGGCAGAATTAAAACTCAGGTTTATAAGAAAAGAAAGAAGAAGAGAGAAAGAGCAAGGCATGGTAGAATTGGGGCTTCACTGTTTATTGGCTGTTTAGCCAATTGAAACTCAATTTCTTTAACTATGGTAATTCTCATACCCATTTCAAAGGGTAGGTACTGTTGATTTTGAGAATGGAAGAGAAGACGCATTCTAACTCTTTCTGAAAGTCATTTGTCCCCACGCAAAATACTCAGGTCTCAGGCTTGCTAATCATCTGTGCAGAAATACTTGATCTGGAAGGGCCGAGGGGTTACCTGGGATTCTTACATGGATAGGCTACTTATAAGAGAGTGAAAAAAAAAAGGGGGGGGGAAGGGAAGACACAAATAATAGCAGAAATGAAAATGGGACATTCCTATAGATTTTATAGACAGTATGAAATAAGAAAATGTTATGGAAAACTTTATAACAATAAATGTGAAAAATTAGATGAAGTGTACAAATTCTTATAAAATTATTAATATTGGTTTAAGAATAGAAAACTTTAATAGTTTTCTAATGATTTTTTTTTAAACATACCAGTAGTCAAAATCTTCTCACAAAGAAAACTTTAAGTTCAAATAGCTTTGCTGGCAAGTTCTAGCAAACATTGCCTGAAAAAAGAAAAAAAGATAAACTATTTTATGTAGACTCTTTCAAAGAATAGATAAAGAGGGAACATTCTCTTTTTTATGAGGCTAGCATAAATAAAATACTAGTATATTCAACCCAGGAATATGTAAAAATAAAAGGTAATGTTTTATGACCAATCCGTTTATTTTAGGAATGCAGAATAGAAAATTAGTGTGTTAAGGAGGGCGCGTATTGCACAGAGCACTGGGTGTTACATGCAAACAATGGATCATTGAACACTACATCAAAAACTAATGATGTACTATATGGTGACTAACATAATAAAAAATTTAAAAAAATTAGTATAGTGACAACAATAGTAGACTGAAAGAAAATTCACTTGATCATCTGAACAGATGAACAAAAGGCATTTATAAAATTTAGTATCCAGTCATGAAAAAAGAAAAACAGTTTCTTAGATATTTAGGAACAGAAGAGAACTTTTTTTTTTTAATTTTATTTATTTATATATTTGACACAGAGAGAGATCACAAGTAGGCAGAGAGGCAGGCAGAGAGAGAGAGGGGAAAAGCAGGCTCCCTGCTGAGCAGAGAGCCCAATTCGGGGCTCCATCCCAGGACCCTGAGATCATGACATGAGCCGAAGGCAGAGGCTTAACCCACTGAGCCACCCAGGTGCCCCGAGAACTTTCTTAATGTAATAAACAGTAGCTCCATAAAACCGACAACATAATACTCAAGGTGGAAGCTGAAAACTTTTCTTTTAGAGCTGGAATGAAACAGGATGCCTCCTATCAAGATTTCTGTGAAAAAGGAACTAGATTTTTTCCTCCAGTATGGTAAGGGGGAAAAAAATGTAGGATTGAAAACAAAGAAACTAAGCTGTCATTATTTGCAGGAAATATGACTGTCTACATAGAAAACTCAATATAATCTACAGGTAATTTATTAAGAGAGTTTACTGGTTGGAGGGGGGAAAAAATCACCATTCAAAAGTAGAGTACATTTCAGGGGTGTCTGGGTGGTTCAGTGGGTTAAAGCCTCTGCCTTCAGCTCAGGTCATGATCCCAGGGTCCTGGGATCGAGCCCGGCATTGGGCTCTCTGCTCAGCGGGGAGCCTGCTTCCCTCCCTCTCTCTCTGCCTGCCTCTCTGCCTACTTGCGATCTCTGTCTATCAAATCAATCAATCAATCAATCTTAAAAAAAAGATACATTTCAGAATACCAAAAACAAACTATAAAAACTAAAAAAAAGATACATATAAAACAGCATCAATAATATGGAGTACCCAGGAAAAAGTCAAGGCATAAGTTGAAGATCTCTATGGGGAAAATTTAAACATTTTATTAAGGGATATTGAAGAAAATCTAGATATAAGAGGTTAAAACATGTTTATGGATCGGAACACTCAGTATTGTGAAGAGGTCAAATTTACTCCACAAAGTGGGAGAAAAATACTGTATTTACAGCATATTAAATCAGCAGAGGACTAGTATCCAAAATATGTAAATTTCTCATAATTTATATGAAAACATCAATTTATGATAAGAAAAAATTGAGAATCCCAACAGAAAAAATGGGTAAAATAAGCATTTGTCCTCTTAGTGCTCCCCAGTTCCAAATTGTTCATAAACAAAAGAAAAAGTATTTATTAACCTTGCTAGTAAAGAGGAAAATGCAAATTAAAGACACAGGGAGATGCTATCCTATCCTTTACCAGTTTGGAAAAAAAAAAAAATCTGGTAATACTGAATGTTGACGAGGACGTGGAGTAGGAGAAATTCTTACACACTGCTGGTAGATGTTTTGGGAAACAGGCATTATCTAATATGTTTCAAAATGTATATCCCCTCTCAGTAATTTCACTCTCAGAAGTGTACTCCGGAGAAGGTTCTATACCTGTGCACCAGCGTTTGTGTGCAAGAATGGCCAGGGGGTCATTGTTCATGATAACTGAAACAGAAGGTGAAGTGTTTATCTATAATATAATGAACAAATAATTTAAGGCATATCTGTTCCCAGAAAAATATTCAATAATGAAAACAAGCAAACTACAGGAATACACAACAGCATGAATGAACCTCACGAAGGTACTGTTGAGTGAAAGAAACAAAACACAAAAGCTTACAGATGATATGTCATTCATATGATGTTCAAAAACAAAACTATACCTATAATTTTGGAACGCATACACAAGTGGAAAACCATAAAAAGGATGAAGGATTATTGCAAAATTTAGAATAGTGATAATTTGTAGGAGAGGACGAAGGTTTTGTGACCAAGAAGGGACCCATGGGTTCGGAGTGCATGTCAGCAGAACTTCAGGAGACTGGCAATATTTTACTTTTTTGGGGGGGGTGGGTCCTGGTTACCTGGGTGCTTACTTTATAAATATTCGTACCCTATAAATTTGTATGTGCAATGCTTTGTGCATCTCTTATGTTTCCCACCAGACATCAGTTTAACCTTAAGCCGTATTGTGACATCATCGTGCACCCATCATCTTGGGAAAAAATTCAAAAGTCTGGCGGGACTGTTACTGGCAAAGTCGTGGCACATTCTAAGTGTTCTCCTCGCTGGCTGTGAGAATGTCAGCTGGCATAAGTGCTTTGGAAAACGGCTCCACCACATTCGTGTAAAGTGGATGCCTATGAAGAGAGAAAAATGAAACTGTAGGTCAGGGGACAAAGGGAGGAAATAATAAAAGAAAAGAAAAGAAGAAAGAGAGCTCACCGGATTGATGAGGACTCTGTGCCTTGAACTGAGGAGTATGATCAGCTTCACTATCTGACCCGAGAGTAAAAAACTAATAAGCCAAAAAAAGAAAGAAGAGGTGCCCCATTGCAGAACATGCCCAGGATGGGTGACCGCTCACACAGCTCCCCACACCAGCGTGGTCTCTGTCAGGAGTCACGGGCCCTGCATTTTCAAGTTGGGACTGCGGGTAGGAGTTCCTGCAGTGACTCACATAGTTCAACGGAATTTTCTTGATGGTAGACCCCTTTTCATTTTTCAGTTTCGTCACTGGGAGCCTCGCTGAGTAATTGAGGGTAAATAATTTTACAGCCCTCCCCACTTCCCTTTCCTCTGAAGAGGACTGGTTATGGTGGGCAGGGTCACCATTAACTTCCCTTAGGAGTTAGTTACTTGCTGGCAAATACTGCGATTTCCCAGAATGCTGACTTTTCCTTGCCGGGCTGCTGTTTTCTACACTGTGCAAAGAGCCCTGTAGAGGGCTCTGACTATCTCTTGCGCTGGTTTGAGAGTGACCTGAAGCTTAATCCCGCTGGCATTCATCACTAGTTACTAAAAATAAAAGCCGTCTATACATACACACAAAAGCTCTTCATTATCTCCCCAGTGTTGTGAAGAGCACGTCCTTGCAAGCTAAAAAGCACTTTATTAGTAAAATGCTTTTTTTTTTTTTTTTTTTTTTTGGTAAGGAAAAGAACCATGCTATTTGGAAGGTCAGGTTTTCTTTTCCCATCTCTCCCTCCCATCCCTTTCGGGGAGGGCATCTCTTGAATTGCACCACACTTTTTCTTGGGCAGAATCGCCTTCTTTGACTTTGGAACACAGGGTTTGGGAATATGGCTCAGACTCAACCCAATTAGTCCCTGTTGAGCCTGGGGACCCAGATAGTTTAGCAATGAGTCTGTGACCCCAGGTGGGCTTTTGAGGGAATGTGAATCACTGGACAGGGTGTGAGAGCAACTGAGAAAGGTGCTTGGTAGGCAGCCGTGTGCTCTGCAGCTAGAGCGGGGGGACACTGTGGAGACTCTGAGGAACTGGAGACAGCCACAAACCAGGTCCCCAGTGACCTCACTGGGGCCACTGAGTCAAGTCTGCCTGCAGCTGATCTTTTCAATGACGTCAGTCAATAAATTGCTTTATAGTTTAAGCTAGTTTGAAGTTGGGTTTTCTCTGAGCTACAACCTGAAGACTGACGTGGCAAAGGTTTATTGGTATAAGAACAACACTGAGATCTAGCCAGGAGAGGTGGTCCACAGCAAGGAGAAATTGAGTAGTCTTGTCAATGAATCATCATTCCGAAGACCTGGAAGTCCCTTCGGGTCCGCCCAGGGTCTCTCTTCTGAAGTCGCCCTCTCAGTGCCAGGGCCTGGTGGGGAAGGCAATGCTGAAAGCGACCTGAGGCAAATGAGCTCTCTGAGACCACAAAAATGAGTGTAAAATAAAAACAAAAGGACTTCGATCTGAGGTGGAGTCTTTGAACCAACAGACAGTTTAATAGGAAATAGATGGATATGCTTTGTACCTTCTTGATCCTCCTGTGTCCGTGATGTTCCTAACTGTTCACGGGTGAGACGTTCTTTCCAGGATGTTGACAGTAGGTATTTTGTGCTACTGAGATTATGGTATTTTTAAATTTATATTCTTCTTTCTTTTTTTTCCAGAATTTTCTACAGTGGGTATGACTTCTATAATAAAAAAAGTTTTCAAGTACTGTTACAGACACACACGCCTATAAGCACTTTTATTTATTTATTTATTTTTAAAGTTTTTATTTAAATTTCAGTTAGTTACTGTCCAGTGTAAAATTAGTTTCAGGTGTACAACAGAGTGACTCAGCACCTCCATCCGTCACCAGGTGCTCATCATGACAGGTGCCCTCCCTCATCCCCATCACCTATTTCACCCATTCCCCTGCCACAGCCCCTCTGGTAGCCATGAGTTTGTTCTCTATAGTTAAGAGGCTGTTTCTTGGTTTGCCTTTCTCGTGCTTTTTTCCCCATGCGCATTTGTTTTGTTTCTTGACTTCTGCATGAATGAAATCATATGGTATTTGTCTTTCTCTGACTGACTTAATCCGTACAAGCACTTTTAAAGGGAAGTCACAGGGCTAGATGCAGTCTGGAAGTCAGTAGACCAAGCTCAAAATTGCTTAACTTCTTACCCTTAATATCCAAACTTAGTGCCTCCTTTTGCAACATTTTGGGACTGATATGAGACGGAAATTGAAGTGTTGTGGTTTAAATAAGAGAGGGCTTTTGATTCAAAACAAGTATACATAGGATTCTTTATGAAGTCATCTCTCTGATACCCATTCTTCAGCAGCTCCCCCATTGTACAAAGTAGACTCGAATTGGACTGAGTTTTCCCAGATAATCCCATCTGTCTCACTCATGTTCTCCTGACTCCTGACCTGGGTCAAATTCCCTAACTTCCATTTTATAAATTTTGTCTAGTGGCCCTTCAGTTATCTATCGCTGTGAATTCTAATTACACATAATCCTAATGTTTTCATTTGGGGCTTGGAGGCTATCTTTAAGGAGCTTGAGGTTTTTCTGAGTTGAAGGAGAAAAGCAAAACCACAGACTTAATCTGTACAGTGGTATTGTTCTACACAAGTTCTACACAAGCTGGAATGGAGAGATATTTGGAACGGAGAGTTGAGTTTAGAAAGATGCAAGCTGATCAGTGTTAGTCCCCTGCATGTAGAGCAAGCAGATGATTGTGATGGGATCTGATGCTCGCAGCCCCCACTGTGAAGTACTCTTGCCAAAAAGTCACACTGAATCTAACCAAAGCTCTGGAGCCAAGTTTTGTTTATAGGTTGCACACAGAAAAGAGGAATAATTTAAATGACCCCACAGAATGTGGAACATTCTGCAGAAAAACTGGTTTGTACAACCCATCGATGGTGAGAGGTGGGAGGTTGGAAGGAAGATTGTTTTAGATGAAGATACTAAAGAGACAGAAAGCTGAATGCAATGTAGGGACCTTGTGTGGATCGGCATATAAACAAATGTAGGGTAAAAAGGTATTTTTGAGATAATCAGGGGACATTGGATTATGGACTGAAGAATTAGGTGCTAAGACATCATTATTAATTTGGTCATGTGTGACCATGGTATTGTGGTTATGCAGCAGAATTTCCACTTTTTTTTTTTTTTAAGATTTTATTTATTTATTTGCCAGAAAGAGAGCGAGAACCAGAGAGTACAAGCAGGGGGAGAGGGAAAAGCTGGCTCCCCGCTGAGCAGGGAGCACGACGGGGCTCAATCCCAGGACCCCGGGATCATGACCTGAGCTGAAGGGAGACGCCTAACCGACTGAGCCACCCAGGTGCCCCCAGAATGTCGACTTTCAAAACCCAAAATGCACACCGAAGTCTGTAAGGGTGAAATAACAGGATGTCTAGGATTCATTTTAAAATAGAAGTTGATAATTTTGAATCTGTGTTTTGGGAACTCATACTTTTCTCTCTGCTTTTGTGTATGTCCAAAAAGTTTTTTTATATAAAACAGTAAATAGAAAATGTAAGGTGCAACACAGGTATGCAATTTGTCTAAGAAAGGAGGGAATAAAGATATGTATGTGTTTTTCTTGTGTTTGCATTGGGGGTATACACAAGAGACTTAGGAAAACAGAAACCTACAGGGTGGGTGGGGGAAATTGGTAGACTTGGGGTGGAAGTGGGAACAAGGCTTCTTCATAAAGCTTTGATATTGCTTTGAATTTTAGCCATTAGGATGAATTCTAACCAGTATTTTTTAAAGAAACAAATAAAAGTTAAATAAACATGAAAATGCTCAGAAACAGCTCCCTATACACGGAAAAAAAAAAGAGAAAGGGTTTAGAGTAAATTTCTAGGCTCCTTTATGTCTAGACTTCAGTGAATTAATAAATTGTTAATATTTTATAAAGCTGGTTCCAGTAGTAACTCTAGAGATGGACAGAAAACAGAGTAATAACAATAAAAACAAAACAAAACAAAAAAAGAGAACACAGACTCTGAAGGCTGAAACTTTTAAAAGTGTTGCCTGGGGTTATGCAGTAAACATGACCTCTGATGCCATGTTTAATTCATTCTGCCTTCCTCTCGAATATGGACATTTGCTGGTTGTTGTGAGTTACATGGGCAGACCTATTAAGGGCAAATGTGAAATTCATAAAACAGTTTATAGTGGAAAAAATCTGGAGCTTGGGGGACTCAGTTCTCACCTGAAATTACCAATCATGTGCCCTTGGGCAAATCAACCTTAGTCTCAGTTTCCCCACCCAGGGGATGACGAAATCTGTCTCTGATCTCTTCAGTAACGGCTACTGTTGCTGGGGAAGAACACACATAGGATAAGTTGGATATTTATATTAAATGCATTTAGTGCCACAAAGATGAGTGACAAGAAAATTCAGCAAGAAAAGACAGAGGAGGGCCACAGGGTTTGCAGAAACTATTCAGTCTGTGGGCTCACTTTTGTAAAGAACCATTGGCTTTTAAGTTTCCCAGACAAATGTCACACTCCCAGAGCTCAGACTGTTGGGGTCTGAGAAGTTACCTCTGAGATGGAGAGTGTGGCTGGAATGCCACACTTTCTGACAATTCATGCCCGAAGCCCCTGGGGTGGGAGGCAAGGGGACATCTTGTGTATGTGAGATGAAATCAAATATTGAGCCCCACCCCCACACCATGGTGGGGGAAAAGAAATACTGCAGAAAGGATTGTGTCTTTCCTAAGTGGAAGGGTTTGGAAGTTCAGGTCCAGGTCAGAATATTAGAGCAGGGAGCTGTGCCTATGTCACCGAACACAATTTCCTCACTTTGTAAACAAAGGAACCGAGATCCAGCACAGTTTGTGTTAGACACAACCCAATTTGTGTTAGAGCAAGGCTAAGCATTAAGCTCCGGAATGGAGTGGAAAGGATAAGGAAGATGTGGCTCATCGTGGCATTGTCCAGCTCCCTGTCCAGTTCCCGACACACAGCAGGTGCTTCACTAACATTGGTCATGTGACCAACCAACTGCCTGATCGGACTGAAAGCACAGATGCTGTGTTCCTACCTTGCGTCCCCTGGTAACCAGCTGGACCCACACACCACCCGTTTCACACAGGGGATTATTTCACTGGAGATGCTTGAAGCCTCTCTCTACTTGCTGAGAGTTCTCTTGGCTGAGACACTTCGCTTCCTCCGAAGTGTCGCTTCCTCTTCGTTGATACTAAGGGGTAAATACCAAAGACTGACAGGATGTCTGTGGTGTAGCAGGACAGAGAACTGGAGTTTCCTTTGTTGTAATTGTGGACTTGGCAGCAATAACAGAGTGAAGACTGGTAGTCAGATGCTATGGTGTGCTGGGCCAGCCGTTGGGGACAGTGAGCCCTGCTCCTGTCGTTGTGGAGGAGATTCGATTTCTTTAATTCTCCAGTCCCACTGGAGAATTGAAGTGAAACAGAGCCATTATTTGACTTGTCTTCTTCAGAATCCATGGTTTCACCTCCTTCCTTCGACTGTGTCCTGCTGTGGCTGCTGCTACTCACAGGTAAATCCGGCCACGGGCTTTCACAATTGGATGCTATACGATAAAGATGCAGGGATGGTCATCGCAATGTTTGCAACAGCAAGTTTGGAAGGAACCTCAGTGTCCACTAGTGGGGGAGCAGGTGGATGAGCTGTGATCTATGCTGCAAATAGGGAGGCCGACGACACACAGAGATATGGAATGTCTCTAAGTCCAAATGTCAGATGAAAGAAGAAGGTGCAGAAGGACATGTATATCAGACTTCTCTTTGTGTATGTATGGTGCAGGGAGTAGGAATACGTGAATGCTTCTTAACGTATGGACTCTGGGAAGGGGAACTGGAAAACGGGAAGGAGCAAGGAGAGGGAGTATACTTCTCATATACCTTTTACACTGTTCAAATGTTTTACTATATATATATATATATATATCTTTGTTAATATATATGCAAAGGTGATTAATTTTAAACCTCACGATAGCCTGTGAATTGTTTCAAACATACAAGCTTCTTATTCAGCCAATGGTTGTTATTCATCATGTGCTGAGGGCTTAAAAAGAGAGAGCGAGGGGCGCCTGGGTGGCTCAGTTGGTTAAGCATCTGTTCTGCTCAGGTCATGATCTCAGGGTCAGGGTCCTGGGATGGAGCCGCACATCGGGCTTCCTGCTCAGTGGGGAGCCTGTTTCTCCCTCTCCCTCTGCCTGCTACTCCCCCGCTGTGCTCGCTCTCTCCCTCTCAAATAAATAAATAAAGTTTTTAAAAACTAAAAAAAGAGAGAGATATTTGTATCAAATTAACTGCCTTTCATCCATGAGCAAGCAGCCCACTAGCCCAGATGGGTGAGCTGTTCTCCTGGCTGGCAGTGACTCATTGTCTGATTGTCTATTTCCATCAGCCTTGCCCTCCAGTGTTCACAGGGCTGGACCACAATTCTCTCTTAGGGCACTGGTTCTCAAAGTGAGTTTCCGAGACCAGCCATCTCAACAGCTCCTGGGAACTTGCCGGAAATTCAAATTCGTATACCCCACCCCAGACCTATTGAGTCAAGAACTCTAGAAGTTGAGCCCAACCATCTGTGTTTTAATAAGTCTTCCCTGTGATTCTGATGCTCCTCAAGTCTGAGAATCATTGTCATAATGAATCATCCTCCAAATGGGACAGTTGCACTAGTTTCCTTTTTATTCTATAAGGCATTACTTGCAGTTTTCTTGAAATGGACCAACCTTACTCACTCATTTCTTGGGTCTTGCTCTCTTTCCCTCTTGATTCAGGGTCTTTGGAAGGGGTATACGTAGCTGAAGTGGGTCAGAATGCTGATCTGCCCTGCACCTACACTCCCACCCCTTCTGAGGATCCTGTGCCTGTCTGCTGGGGCAGGGGATCCTGTCCAGTGTTCGAATGTCATAGTATGGTGCTCAGCACAGATGGAAGGAACTTGAAATATCAGACATCCAACAGATACCAGCTGAAGAGGAGTATCCACAAAGGAGATGTGTCCTTGACTATAGAGAACGTGACTCTAGCTGATAGTGGGATTTATTGCTGCCGCATCCAGTTCCCAGGCCCAATGAATGATAAAAAATTAAACCTGGAGTTGGTCATCAAACCAGGTGAGTAGACCTTTGCATGCCTTCTTGAATAAAATCACCTGCAGGTAATATTAAATATACTGATTGGTCGCCCTTCTGATCTCCTCAGTTACAGCCCCGCCTGTCCGTCTGTCCCTAAGACCTAAAGTTTAGCAGACTCCACCAGCAATGCCCAGCCACTTTTAACTCCCTTCATCTATTTTAAAACTTATGGACAGGATCTATAAAATGGGATGAAAGGTCAAGATTGGTGATTCAAGAGCCTGATGGCTCGTTGGAATCACCTGGAAAGCTTTTTAAGACCTACATAGCTCCTTGGTTCCCCGGCCCACGAACCACAGAAATTAGCATCTCTGGAGGCAGAGTCCTGAGCACTAGGATTTTACAAAGTCTACCCTCAATGATTCTGCCCCTCACCGTGCAGTCAGGATCTAGAACCGTCAGACGGTGTACGTGTCGGGTACATTTGCTCATGTGTTTGAAGATTTATAGAGCATATAATGTGTGGCTGATGGAGCAGAGTTCAAATCCAACTTTGCCATCTTGGGCAAGTTATTTAAACTCTGTGAACTCTTCCTCTATGAAATATGGTAATTCCTACCACACAGCCCCCGGGGAGGATTTTACGAGGTGTTTTGTGAAAAACATTTAGCGTGGCCATTTGGGTGGCTGCTAGTTCCGTCATTAATGATTAGACTGTGGCAGTGATGACTGTAACACTCCTCTGCCCGACACCTCAGGAGTGTCGTACATGCTCAAGGAAGGTGGCAGGTAGGTCTGGCAGTTGGCCATGTACTTCTCTTTATTTGTTGCGTTTCGTATTTTTTCTGCTGCCCCTTTGATTCCCTGCCACAAGCTCTCTGCTCTCAGAAGGGCTGCATCCTTATGTTGGTTTCTGATATTAGCCAAGGTCACCTCTGCTCGGACTTCATGGACAGACTTCACCGCAGCCTTTCCACGGAGGCTCACTACCAAGGGACGTGGTGCAGGTAATGATACCAGAGGCGTAGCACGAAGCCTTCGGGTATTTTCAGAGGATTTTGAGTATGAGAAAGAGATGAGAAAAGGGTTTAACTGGAGGCGTGAACGTCCTTGTGGACCTGAGTGAGATGTTGTGTGTGGGGAGAGGGGAGGTGGGGACAAACCTGTACTGGGAAAAAGGAGCCCTGAGCTAGGCTTCAGAATTAGTCACAAGTACCTCTGTGACCCGGGCTGAAAACTGTCACTTCCCTGCATCTCTCCTTCTTGTTCTGTCCAAGGAGAGGGTTTGGAGACTTTAACTTTTGTGACCTGGTAAAACTCCCTCCCCCTCCAAAACCAAAATTCTGGTGATCTACATATTTTTCCAAATAAGAAAAAAAAAATTCTACTAATGCCATTATTGCAATAAAAAAAGATCTGCTTTTAAATTAAATACATTTGGTCTAATGAAAAACTCATTACGTTGCCTTTATTTTCCAACTGACTCCCAGACTGGGATATTTTGGCATGAACTGGCTCCAGTTTGTGTTTGAGGTTGGATTTGGGGATTTCAAGGATCTCTTCTAACTAGAATGAAGCCCATCCTCTTCTTTCGATTCCAGCCTTGGAAAGAGTAGCTAAACTCTTTCAGTAATTCAGCAAGGACTTCTTCAAGCTGCCCTGGTAGAGAAGGTAGGGTCAAAAGAGCAGACTGAGTGTTTCACTGAGCAGGGGATTAATCTTAAATGTCTCCTGTCAGATTTCTGGTTCTTCTTATACTCTCTGGAGCTCAGTCTTCCATTCAGTAAGATAAGGGTAATAACAGGTAGGTCCCATATTTTAATCTCAGAAATCTCCTAAGTCCCACCTTGTGAGATTTAACTAAGAAAGGGTGTCTCAAGTGGTTAGCCCAGTATTTGATCACAGTATGTACTCAGTCATTGTCTTTAATGTTGCCAGTAAGATCTGGAGGCAGAATGAGGTTGTGGTTAAGTACCTCAGTGACGGGGCTCCGCTACCTGCCCTTCATACTAGCTTTGTGAGTGTGAAGTAAAGTTGCTCAAAATCTGTGAGGCTCAATTTTCTTACCTCTACTTTGGGGGTTTTCTCAGGACCTATTGCCTAAGATTGTAAAAATTGAGTGTGACAATGTATGCAAAATGCTCAGTGTCGTACCTGGCTCACAGAAAACACTCGAATATTAGTTATTATTATAAGTATTAACTTCAGCTCTCTACTGGTTTAATCTTTGGTGGTTCTTTAGTGGTTGGTAGCCAAGATCTCTTATGAGAGGGAGAACATTAAATATGGCGGGACAAGATGACAACCGTCATCCCAAAAGGAATTTAAAGTGGATTTTAAAAATTCCTTTAAAAAGGAATTTAAAAACCACATTGATGGAACTGCTAAGTAAACATGAATCTTAACCACACGCAAGATTTTCTAATGTAAATCCAGGTTCTGCTTCCCTGTAATTAACCCAAGTCAATATTTACTGATGCCCATATTCCTATCCAGGGCTCCAATGTTCTTTACAGCGTCACTGCCAAGTGGGCATTCGCTGTATGCCCACACACCTTTCTCCTGAGCCAGTGCATTTCCTCTGGGTTGTCTATATCATAAACAAGTCCTTTTCCCTTTAGTTTTTACCTGTTAGTTCCTTTCCTTTAGGGCAACAACGATGGGGTCTCCCCTTGCAAGTCAACTTGGTGTAGGTATACATACCTTTTCTTTTAATGTGGAATGTGGGTACATTGAATATGTTTGCTATTAAGTGGAGTGGAGCCTTAATAAGTAAAGATTCCAAGGGTCTTGGAAGCTGCTAAACATACTTTGAACACAAGACATTGTCATGTCTCTTCCACCTGAAGGAGGTGGAACCAGGTCATGGTGAGTCCTCAGCTCTGGAGGTTGACTTGGTTTGAATCTCAGGTTTGCCAATTACTGGTTGTGTGATCTTATGCCAGGTACCTCTCTGAGACTCAGGTTCTTCATTTGAAAAGTGGAAAAATAACAGTATTTCTATATTGTGGTGAAGATTGAAAGATATGTGAATAAAGTGCTAAGCACCATGTGTGGCAGGTAATACGTGCTAGATGGTAACCATAGATTTATATGCTTCTGAGATGATCTCATTCTGCCCTCAAAGCCCCCTCCACTCCAGCCAAGTCTTGGTTTCTCTAGGAAAACTAATGCAGATTTTTTTTAACTGTCCTACTCACCTTGGTTGATGGTTATCTATATGAAATTAAGCTGTGATAATCAATAAAACAGAGTAGTCTTGGGTTATTTTCACTGTAAATTGAATTTTTTTTTAAAAGGAGAAGTCAGTCTTACCATTTAGAGCAAGAGAAATAATTATAGGGAAGCAGAAACTGGAATTACATTAGAAAATCTTGTGTGTGGTTAGATTCATGTTTACTTAGCAGTTCCACCAATGTGGTTTTTATACTTTAAATTCCTTTTGGGTAGTAATAAGAGCAGAGGCAAGTGGAAGAGAATCTCTTTTATTTCCTTTTTTTAAAAAAATGTATTCAGGCTGAGAGTATTAAAATTTTAATATTAAAATCATGGTTTATTAAACCAGGTGTTTTATATGAAAGGACTTGGACTTTCAATCTCCCAGAAAGTGGCCATGACATTTAAGAAGTTTCAGAGTCTCTGACTCAGCCAGAGACATGAACAGGCATCCTTAAGTTCCCCAAAGCTGACATTCTATATTGATTTTTTTAGAAGACAGCATCTGTGAGGTCAGGGCCTGTGCCCAGGCTGTTGGCAGCTCTGTACCCCATGCCTGGTATAGAGTAGAGGTGTAGACATGTTCATCGAATGGATAGACAGATGAATAAGTAAATGGGTAAGAAGGGAAAAAAAGGTGAGCTGGTAACTGGGCAGTGTGTTCACTTAGAAGTGACCATACCAAGGTGAAGGTTGTTGAAGGCAGCATAGGAGTGTCTGTTTGAAGCTATGCAGACCTAAACCGGAAGGCCATTTCTGTTATTCACTAAGCTCCATTACCCTGAGTAAGTCTGTTCCCTTCTGAATTTTCAGCTTCTTCATCTAAGTAATGGAGCTAATAGTCCCTACTTTAGGATAACGGTTTTGAATGCTAAATGAGATACTTTGCTCAAAGAATTTAGCACAATGTCTGTTCATGGTAAATTAGAGCTATTGTTATTACTATTTTCATTTTTAGGCAACCAAATATCCTGTCTCCCTCTTAATGAGTAAATGTTAAAATTTTTCAAGAAAATTAACTTCTGTTATCTTTCGAAGTCTAATTAAAATTTAATGCCTGCTTGAGTGATATCAATGTTGTTGGAATTCTGCAGCCCTCTTTGGGGCCCTGTGGATACAACAAACCATATATTCAACGGAGGTCTTCCTGGCAGAGGTCTCCTTTTCATGGCACCTAAATAGTTCGGTTCATTATCTGGTTAAAAAAATTTGGTCACCCTAGGGGTGCCTGGGTGCCTCAGTGGGTTAAGCCTCTGCCTTCAGCTCAAGTCATGGTCTCCGGGTCTCTGGGATCGAGCCCCACATCAGGCTCTCTGCTCGGTGGGGAGCCTGCTTCCCCCTCTCCCTCTGCCTGCCTCTCTACCTACTTGTGATTTCTCTCTGTGTCAAATAAATAAATAAAATCTTAAAAAAATTCGGTCACCCTAAAATTGTTTTGCAGGTGTTTAGAAAATTTTGTTGTTCTCATGATTAATTATTGTGAAGAGTATAGAGTAGATTTAATTTCAAATAGGATTAAAGATGTCTTTAGGATTTTTTAAAAAGTCAGATAAAAGAAAACATTCCTGACAATTCTATTGGCTATTTTTTTTTTCTCTTTATGGCAGAGACACAGACACTGGAGGGTCTCCATGATGGAGAACACACTGTAAGTGACTTTGTGTGCCTGTGTGTGTGTGTGTGTGTGTGTGTGTGCATGTGTATATGTGTGCTAACTTCATGCTCAACTCAGAAAAAAGAAAGTTCAGCTTTAGTCCTTCTTGTTTGCTCTCTGCTTGGGGAAAAAAAAATGCCTTAATCTCCCTTAGCCTCAGTGCCCTTGGCTGATGATACCAGTTCCAACTGCATAGGCCTGTTGCAAGGGTGAAATAAGGGAATATATGTAAAGTGCCCGGCACATAGTAAGTGCTGGAAAACCAAAACGAGGAAGCACTACCCTCTTGTCCCTCTTCTCCTATTTCACAACTGTATGACACTGTGGAGGGTTCAAAGACACTCCATCTCCCTAGAGTGTATTTCTTCTCATTTCCATGGCAAATTTTTCCAATGAAAATGATTATTTAAATTTATTACTATATGACAAGACAGCAGTCAGGAATATTGTAAGCCAAGAATTTCTATATCCACCTATAAAGAAATCAATATTTTAATTAACCACAAATTTAGTGTCTCCCACCTTCTCAGAGTAAAAGGAAATCCCCTAGATAGCAAGCTTATAATGGTGACTTAGAAATTCTTTGGGGACATATCCAGGAGTCTGCCTTCATTTGACCAAGTCCCCTACTTATATGTTTACAACCAAGGCTCAGTACTCTGTGTTTGCCCCTCTCTGTGACCAAGGACTGACTCTAAGTACCTCTGTATATCTATAGTATTTAATGCACAGTATCTTGCAATTAACACTCCTGTAGTACATGTTTATTGAATAAGTGCAGGATTTAATTTCTTTGACTTCTTTGTTTTAAACGTGTTCCCTATTACTGTTTTTAAGCGGGAACATGGACTAAAATTTTGGAAGCAAAAGAATTTTCTGAATCTCAGTTAATCAATTCAGTGGATCAGAGCAATACCCATAATAGTAACCACTGCTTAAGCATTTATTATATACGAGGCCCTGTGCTGAGCATTTTATATTTCTCATCACTTAATTTTTCCAAGGACACTATATGATGGTGGCAGAGCTGGGATTTGAACCCAAGACTGTCTGGCTGTAAAGGCCTGGCTTTTAAATCACTGTCTTTCTGTGAATATGGGGGTTTCTCTGCAAGACACCAAGTTTTGACCTATCTGAAACTCTCTGGAACACCAGGGCCCTTGAATGAATGGAGTTCCACTCTAAAGCCCATTTTTATTTGGGACGGGAGGGGAGTCCATTTACTTAGGGCTCCTTGTGCCCCCAACAGCATAGAAGTGACACATTTTATTGCCTTACTAACTGTGAAGAGTATGCTCATCGCTTTCTTTGGTGGTGTGAGGCCTGTCTGCAAGGAGACAGATCAGAGTCGTCTCAAGGTTCCTGCCTTCCTGTGGTGCTGTGAAAGGGACAGTCTGATGCACAAGTCATGAGACTGGCTGAGCACACAACTGATTTCCAGCCATCTGCTGCAGTTCTCTTTGTGTTTCCATAGCAAATACCCACGTGGACTAATGAGTTACAAGACGCTGGTGCGACCACCAGAATGGGAGTCTACATTGGAGCAGGGGTCTCCGCCGGGCTGGCTCTCCTCCTTATCACTGGTGCTTTAATTCTCACATGTAAGTTGGTTGATGTTGCTTCTCTCTCCCTCTGATGTTAGAAAAGGAACCAAACAGGGCGTCTGGGTGGCTCAATTGGTTAAGTGTCTGCCTTTGGCTCAGGTCATGATCCTGGAGTCCTGGGATCGAGTCCCGCATCGGGCTCCCTGCTCAGCGGGGAGTCTGCTTCTCCCTCTGGCCCTCCCCACTCTCATGCTCTGTCTCTCTCTCTCCCTCTCTCATTCTCTCTCTCAAATAAATAAATAAAAATTAAAAAAAGAACCAACACAAACCTAGATAGAAATATAAGTTTATACTTATACCTGAAGGTGATAAAACTGAACACCCTATAGTCCTCCCAAACCTACCAATAATAATAGCTATTTTTTACTCAGTGCTTACCATGTAATACACAGGCATTGTGCTAAATGTTTTTACCTACATTTTATCGTCACCATCTTATGCAGTAGGTAGTATTTATCACCATTTTATCATGCAGGAAGTATAGCTACGAGAGAGTAAGTCACTTTGCCACGGTTTCAGAATCCCTAAGAGGCAAAGCTGGAATTTAAACCCAAGCAGGCTGATTCTAGCACCTAGTCTCTTACCTTTGGCTAAGAACAAAAACCTCTTTAAATCATGAATTAGGCTTATTAGGAAGCACAACAACAAAACTCATTTCTTTCTGTGCATTTTCCTATCTTATTTGTTCTTCAGGCATAGGTCTTTAGGGAGAGGTGGCAAGTCCTGTTACCGATGGGTCATGGGCCAGGATTTGTACATTTGTGTTTCGCTCCTTCATAGCACTCGCACACACATTGTTATCTAAGTTATTTTTATTTAAAAAATCTTCTTAAGTTATGGTTTATTATACTCTAACAGCATATTTAAAGTATGTCCAACTTGATGAATTTCAACATGGAAATCTATCATGACCTTTAAGACCCAACTAATGGCATCATCCCAGAAGCCTCATACACTGTTGTAATTATGATATATTCTCTTCTCTTTGAGGGCAGAGACTAAGACCTTATACTCCATGGCTTAGTACATTCTAACAGCCTTTCCTACTCTAGTTAAACACGGACTGCATAGTGGGTGACCAGTTGTCCCAGGTTTGCCCGGAAATGAGGGGGTTCCTAGGATGTGGGATTCCAGTGCTAAAACTGGGACAGAGATTGGAAAATCAGGATGAATTGGTCATCCTAGTTGTGTGGCTTAAAGCTGCTGAGTGCTTTATGCATACTAAATTCTCATAATTACTCTACTGACAAAGATACTAGTATTATTCTAATTTACCAAATGGAGAACTAGGGTGCTGTCCAAAGTCATATGGTTAATTGATAGATATGGAATCTGAAGACAAGATTCTCCTGTTCCTCACCATTATGCTATTCTGCCATTATTGGTAAATGGATTGTTCAAAGAAAAAAGCTACCCCATCCACACTTACCTGAGTTTACTGAGAGGTAGCAGGGGGGTTCGTGAATTGATTACAAGGATGTAAAGCCTACAAGTTGATAAAGAGCAGTAATAGCACTCACTATCTTTTTGAGTTCTGCCATGGGCTGGATATTAGGGGCCATTCTAGTCTGTGTAAAGAGGTTTGAAGTGAGGTTTCTTCTCATTGGGGGAAGTCTGACACTTTGTACCCACATCTTTATTACTCCAAAGACATGGTTACCTAGAAGAACAGATGGGAAAGTCCTGTTTGATTTGTGATCTTTTCCCTAGAAGTTGCTGGAGAAAATCTTAAAACCAAGGTGACAGGTGTTTAAGTCAGGATATCAAAGCCATTAATTGGCAACAATACAACTAGCAATCCTGTATCTTTCTAGTGCTCTCTTTGCAATGAACATCCATACCTCAGTACTACTCAAATCTCCCTCATATCTCACTCAACTGATGAAGTATCAAAGACCTGTTCCTTCTTTGCCTTAGCCAAGACTTCATTCCTCCTTTTACCCCTTTCTCTAGAATCATCCAGTAGACATCTCTGTCTTCATTGTCATCAATCTTTCAGCAATATTTAACCAAATCGACCCTTACTCATTCTAGAAAGTCTTCCTTCTCTGGGTTTCTAGAACACCACTCTCCTACTTCATTGGCCAATACTTTTCAGTCATTTTCATTATTTCTTTTTCTGCTTCACCTTTAAATGTTGATACTCCTCAGGGCTGGCCCTTTCCCTTTCTTGTACACCCTTTAGGTGATCTATATTTCGACAGGCTTAAATGTCATCCTTAATTTCCCTCTCCAAGTCAGAGTGTTTGTACAGTTGATACCTCCACTTAGATGTCTCCCACATTTAACATGTCCAAAATGGTGGTCTAGAGTCCATATTCCACCTTCCCAGAACACAACTTCTGCCTCTCTGATCTTCTCCATTATAGCGTTTCACTACCATCCATCTGGTTGCTTAAGCCAGAAATCCAGAGGCCATTCTTGAATCCTGTTTTCTATTAACACAAAATTCAATTTTAATTCCTGCAGACTTTCTCCAAAATACATGTAAAATCCATTCATTATTCTCGTTTCTCTTGGTCACCACCTTCCTCTGATCTGAGGCATTATGATCTCTGCTTACTTCTCCATTTTTTAATGCCTCTTTTAATCTACTCTTCACACAGCCGCTAGAGTGATCTTAAAACCCTATTAGCTCTCATATTTCTGCTCTCCAATTATTTCTAGTAGGTCCTAGAATAAATTCCAAAATCTTGATTATGATGTAAAAGGTCCTTTGGAGCTACCCCCAGCCTACCTCTCAGAACTTATCTTGGGCCACTCCCTTATTTCAGTTTCAGGGACCCACCATCATCTTTACCAGGGGTTCTCTCTGCCTGAATTCTCCCCCTGGCTCTTCACTTGGCTGACACATTCTCTTTGTTAAGAACTGAGCTTGAAGTTCACCTCTTCTGAGAGTTTTTTTCCTGACCACGTTCTCCATCATCTGTTCTAGAGCCTTATTACTGCCACAATTTGAAATTATTATTTAAATGCCTCCCTCCCTAGAACACAACTTTTAGAAGTCAGGGATCACAATTCACTTTTGCATCCCCAGTGCCTAGCATACTACCAGGCACATAGTAGACGCTCCATATATTTGCTGAACGTAAGAAATGCATCTGTATTACTTACTAACATAGTCCATGTAATAAATCAAGACACACATTGATAGTTTGATTTATTTCAATCCAAAAGGAGACCAGATTTCCCTAAACAATCCCTGCCTCCAGTGAGTTCATTTTATTTCTTATCTCTTTTGTTTCATGAGAACATTTTTTTAAAGATTTTATTTATTTATTTGACAGAGATCACAAGCAGGCAGAGGGACAGGCAGAGAGAGAGGAGGAAGCAGGCTCCCTGCTGAGCAGAGAGCCCGATGCGGAGCTCGATCTCAGGACCCTGGGATCATGACCTGAGCTGAAGGCAGAGGCTTTAAACCACTGAGCCACCCAGGTGCCCTCATGAGAACATTTTTAATTGACTTTTCTTCTACTTTTTACTTAGGGTATACTTATAGCAAAGAGGAGTTACAGAACTCAAGGTAAGAATAATGGGTGGTGTAGGGGAAGGTGGGAATGTTGGAGGCCCCTACTCTAAGACGGCTTTGCTCTTAGAATTCTGGCCCTAGGATTTAATCTTAGACTTCTTTCTCACCTTAGGCATGGATTAATGCAATACTAATTAAACATGCTGCTCTGTTTTTCTTTTTGATTTCTCTAGCTTCATGGCCTAAAGTTAAGGTGTAGAATTCATCTCGCTCTTGATAGGAAATGCTTTTTTGTATAATAATTTTTTTTTTTCAATGAATTGACCCTTCCAATGATTGAGCTACATTCAGTCACTGGGCTGGGCACTGGGTTACAAAAGTGAGTGAGAAACCCAGAACCTACTCTTGGGTTTTTATAGATCAGCCCAGGCATTCTTAACTTATGTTTCTATTAGAATCATCTAGGGCATTGAACATATTGTTGCCAACCCCAGAGCAAATAAATCAGAATCTTTGGGGATGGGACCTTAAGCATAGCTGTTTTTCTAAAAAATTTCCAGGTGATTCTAACGTGGAAACAGGGTTGAGATCTACTGGTCTATTATATTGCAGTCTTGGTATCCATTTTTGACTATATGTATTTGAATACATATACACACATGCACACACCTCCATGCCAATACATAAAGCTTAAATAACTTCTAGTAGAATGTACTGACTTTTGGTACATGGGTAGAATGAAGTGTAAAAAAAAAAAAAATGACTCTGCCTATTGAATACTATCTAGACCATGAATAATTTTAGAGAAAGTAGAGATAGTATATTTATGAAGACAGATAATCTATAGTAATAAAGTCAAATAAGGCCAAATAAAATATTTATTTATCACTGGCTTTCGATCATCTGTGACAGGATTTGTTATTAGAGCTGAAATTTGAAATGTGATACATGAATTAGTTCATTATTTGGTTGATATTATTTGGTAAAGTTATCTGGTTAACTTTCATCTCTATCTATATATGTAAGTTCCATAGAAAATTAGGGCACTGTTGCCACATTATATCTCTACCTCTTGATAGAGAACATGATGCTTAGTAGGCAATTTATCTGATGACTGAGCGAATAAATGTTCCTTATGGCAGCCCTGTGAAATAGAATGCTTACTATTCCCATTTTACAGACGACAACACTGAGTAACACTGAGTTACTAACATGCCACCTCCATGGGATTTTTGTGTATTGTTCACTGCAGCATTTCTCGCTTCCTGGAACACTGTCTAACATCCTAAATATTTCTTGATTGAGTGAGTGAAAAAAGAAACAACCAACCACCCAATTTGCCTAAGATCTTATGGCTGGTAAGAGACAGAGGTAGAATTCCAACTCAAGTCTGACTGGGTCCATAACATATTCATATTTTTTTCTTTTTGAAATTATTCAAGCCCATAGAAGAACTGAAGTTACCATACAAAGCACCATAGAAACTTTCAATGAAACCTGTGATTTAACATTTTGACATACCTGCTTGGTTTGTTTCTCTGTTTATATAAACAGTTTTTTCCTGAACCATTTGTAAGGACATTACAGGCATCTTCACACTTCACCTCAAGACTTCAGTCTGTCCCTCCATATAATACCATGCCAGTTATGTACTTCAGAAAATGAAGATGAATTCAAATTTCCTTAATTATTCCACATGTTATTTTATTGCTGTTTTATGGCCTTTTCCTCCTAGTGAGGACCTGATCGGGGATCATGTACTACATTTGGTTGTCCTCTTAACTCTATTCTGTGCTACCCAGGAGATGCTGAACTCAACTGCGACATTTCTTTCCACAGCCTCCTCGCTTTGGGCAGCCCCCCTCCCTTGGGGTTAGCAAACACAGGAGCAGAAGGAATGCGCTCGCAGGAAAACATCTATGTCATTGAGGAGAACATATATGAAATGGAAGACCCATATGAATACTACTGCTATGTCAACAATGAGCAGCAATCCTGACAACCTAGAGGTTTAACCCTTTAAGTGCCACCAGATCCCACGACGTCATTTTTGAGCATAGTGTCATCTTTGGAAACTATGAAATGTGTCACGTGATTGGTTTTAGAGACTCTGTCCATGGCCACCGAGCAGAGTTTTTACGCTTTCTGATGATAATTAGCTCCCAGAGGGAGGGAACGGTGACCTGCCCTGCAGTTGGCACAACATGACTTCTGTGTTTCAGCCATCAGGGCTACCCAACTCAAAGACTACTAATTGGGACATTAGAGCTCAAATGGGCTTTTATATAGAGTAGGAATTTTTAATATGCAGTCCCCGAAATGCCAGGAAATTTAGTCACATGACGGATCCACAAAGCTCCTGAAAATATAGGGAAAATTATGTGCTGAGATACATGCATGTCTTTTTGGGGACAGAAAGACAAAAGGGGCCACTGATTTTCAAAGAGATCTGTGATCTATAAAAAGTTAAGAAGCTACTGGAGGAGAAGAGTGTCTCGAATGTTCTCTCTGAGTCTCAAGACTAGTGCTTCTCTGAATATTGATTCTTTAACAGTAAGTGCCACTGCAGAGCTCTCCTTTGCCAGTTAGGTGGACTGCCCAGCAGGTCCTGTGGTGTGGCAGGAGCTCCCAGAGAAAAAGGAAGTGTGCCTCCTGTGTGTTGCCAAGTTTTGTCTGGGGCGCACTCAACGGGAAACATCTCCCAGCAACTTCTCCATTCATGGAGAGAACTGGAGCTCTGTTTTTATAGAAGAAGAAGCAGTGACTGGGACACATTCTGGTGGAAAGAAGGCAAAGGGCTCCAACAATCTATATCAGCATCAAGTTCTTTGAGAGAAAGACTGTGGTTCTTAAGCTTCAATTTCAAGGTGGTAGCGACTTGGTTTATTTTGCCTATTTTTTACCTGCCCAGTGCCTGACAAGCTCTCACACCTCACAGAAATTTACTAAACATCTTTGGAGTGAAAAAAACCTAAGAAAGGTAGCCTTCTGCAAAGTCTTTTCCATTGCAGGGTTTATATAGAGCTCTTCCGGAGAGCACACAGATAGTCCTAAGATCCCATATCTGCCCTTACCTGGTTCTGGGTGGTGTTTGTTTCTTAGCATCATCCCCAGCTCAGGCCTTTGGAAGCCTGTTACTCTTTTGTCTGTGTCCCCCTTTCTTTTTCTTTTCTTTTACTTTCTTTTCCTTTCCTTTTTCTCTTTTTCTTCTCTTCCCCTTTCTCTTCCTTTCTCTTCTCCCTCTCTCTTTCTCTCTCTCTCTTTCACTCTCTCTCTTTCTTTTTTTTTTTCGACCTCTAAGATCATGACCTGAGCTAAAATTGAGTCAGATACTTAACCAACTGAACCATCCAGGCACCCCTGTATCCCCCTTTCTGCTGAGCCTCCTCAGCACATAAATAATCAACAATAAAGTCCTGTTGCTGCCTTAAAACTGCTCTTCCCCAGGTAATAATTAAACGGCTACCATGCTGTATGCAGAAAATGTTGGTCACCAAGGATATAGGCAGCCTGTTTGTTTCTAGGAGTCTTTCTGGCAGTGTTGTGTGAGTTACAATGTTCAGGCTGCATTTAGACAGTTTGGGGAAGTACTGGCTTTCTATAGGGAGATATATAAGGGAGATCATTTTGCAAAATGATAGGCAGCAGCTCTCATATAAGACTAAGAATTAATCATGAATATTTTAAAGTTATAAAATTCTAGAGGGAAGGGATTTCAGAACCTATTGAGATCAGCTCAATGGTTTCCCCAGCAGAAAGAGATTCTTATCCTACAAAAATCTTTAAACAAGGGTAATGTACCCAGGATGATCATTGCAATGGTACTTGTAAGAGACTTTTTTCACTGCCTGGGGAATCGTTGGTTATTGTGATGTCAACACGCTGGTGCAATTAAAAAGAATTAAGTGGTCTTAATTCATTGCTGAACTGTTTTCCTAATTCAATGAATATTTAAATGTCTACTATATGCCAGGTGTTCTGGTGCTGAGACCATAGAGAGAGACCAAACAGACTTATCCTGAACCCCACAGAACTCATTTGATCTGACGTAAGGAGGATTCATTCCATTCATTCAGTCAGTGAGCATTTACTGGTACCTACTGTGTGCCAGACACTGTTCTTCTCCCTAGAAATATGGCAGTGAGGGAAACAGACAAAATCCCTGCTCTCATGGAGTTTACATTACTTGTCAGAGGAGAACACTATATTGTAAGGAAAAGAAAAAAAATTCTGGAACAATGTATGTAATAGATGTTCATTTTTTTCTTTTGCCTTTAAAAAAATCTGGAAAAATACACCAAAATTAATATGGCTACCCCACAGGGGCAAATGGTCATGTGACAGACTTTGTCCTTTATGTGCTTTTATAATTGTCAGAATTACTTTTTTTTGTAATAGAAAATTAGATTTAAGCATTATAGCGCTGTCTTCTTGTCTGTCTTCCTGATAATAGGAAGAAATGAAGACTAGGTTAAGCTAGATTTAAGGTCAAGGCTGGCAGCAAGCCAGGACTGGAATCCTGGTTTTCAGAGTAGAATCTCTTCTATGTCAATTATATGGAAGGGGGAAGTTGGCAGAAAGGGGAACAAATCCCTACAAGGCTACTACAAAGAGCCCGGGAGATAAGTGGTAACTTAATTAAAAACAGTGTAATAAGATTGTGTAGCTTGCTCCTAGAAGCATCTCAGCATTTTTCCTCCACAGCTCTTCCATAGGAGACCCATGGGACAGGGGCACTTCTTGACTGTTTGAGACTGAAAAACATAGCAAGACTGTGTTTTATCTGCATATCACTTCTAGATTTGGAATTCCCAAGGCAGAAGTTCCAAGGAGTTCAATGCCTCCTTAGTTGATTTTTGGGTACCCCCTCATGCCCATTCTCATTTAAACTTAATTTTCATTTAAATATAAATTTGAAAAATTAAGCTGAACACAATTTTTTTCCAGTTTCTATTCAGAAAGTCTGGATCCTTCTGGAGATAAGTATAGATAGATGTCCCAGAGCAGCAATTTTTAAGATTTTTTCCACCATTTTTTTCTGGGACTCAGTTGGGAAGTGGGGGAAAAGGAAAGATGGATCATTTGGTCAAAAGGTTCACAAGCTTGAGGAGGGCTCATATTTTAGTCTGTTTTCACTGGAAAATCTGTGCCGAGAAGCATATGAGTCAGAAATGTTTTAGGCTTGTAGATTCTCTGTGTCATTTCTTCAGTAATGGTGACCACAGTTATAGAGGTCATTCCAAGTCACTCATTTACTCATTCGCTCATAGCAGTGATAATCTTTTGTAAATTATTGTTCGAATTCCTTCAGCTTATGGTGCAACTCTCCTTTTCCTCAGAAAGCAGTGAGGTGTTTTTTTTTTTTTTTTTTTTTTTTTTAATGATTATTTAAGCTATTCCCTTGTGGTGGCAGTGGGACATCTGTTTAAATGTGCACATTATTTTAATGTGATTGTTTTGTAGGTGGGTCACCTTTGGAAAATATTTCATTATGGTTTTATATTCTATACTTGTAACCTGTTTCATGATAAGTTGATGTGTCCTTTGTAATTTCTGTATTTTGTGTTTGTACTCTTTCATTCATGTAAACCTAGTTCATGTAAAATAGAAATAGTTTCTACTCCAATGCAGTGTTTACCTTCTTTTGGTCAGCTCTGAAATATATGTAATCTGTACATCTGCATCTAATCTGTTTTAAATTTTTTTTTTAAATTTTATTTTTTATAAACATATAATATATTTTTATCCCCAGGGGTACAGGTCTGTGAATTGCCAGGTTTACACACTTCACAGCACTCACCATAGCACATACCCTCCCCAATGTCCATAACCCACCCCCCCACCCCTCCTCCCCCCATCACCCCTCAGTTTGTTTTGTGAGATTGAGAGTCACTTATGGTTTGTCTCCCTCCCAATCCCATCTTGTTTCATTTACTCTTCTCCTACCCCCTTAACCCCCCATGTTGCATCTCCTCTCCCTCATATCAGGGAGATCATATGATAGTTGTCTTTCTCCGATTGACTTATTTCGCTAAGCATGATACCCTCTAGTTCCATCCACGTCGTCGCAAATGGCAAGATTTCATTTCTTTTGATGGCTGCATAGTATTCCATTGTGTATATATACCACATCTTCTTTATCCATTCGTCTGTTGATGGACATCTAGGTTCTTTCCATAGTTTGGCTATTGTAGACATTGCTGCTATAAACATTCGGGTGCACATGCCCCTTCGGATCACTACGTTTGTATCTTTAGGGTAAATACCCAGCAGTGCAATTGCTGGGTCATAGGGTAGTTCTATTTTCAACATTTTGAGGAACCTCCATGCTGTTTTCCAGAGTGGTTGCACCAGCTTGCATTCCCACCAACAGTGTAGGAAGGTTCCCCTTTCTCCGCATCCTCGCCAGCATCTGTCATTTCCTGACTTGTTAATTTTAGCCATTCTGACTGGTGTGAGGTCATATCTCATGGTGGTTTTGATTTGTATTTCCCTGATGCCAAGTGATATGGAGCACTTTTTCATGTGTCTATTGGCCATCTGGATGTCTTCTTTGCAGAATGTCTGTTCATGTCCTCTGCCCATTTCTTGATTGGATTATTTGTTCTTTGGGTGTTGAGTTTGCTAAGTTCTTTATAGATTTTGGACACTAGCCCTTTATCTGATATGTCATTTGCAAATATCTTCTCCCATTCTGAGAGTTGTCTTCTGGTTTTGTTAACTGTTTCCTTTGCTGTGCAAAAGCTTTGGATCTTGATAAAATCCCAATAGTTCATTTTTGCCCTTGCTTCCATTGCCTTTGGCGATGTTCCTAGGAAGATGTTGCTGCGGCTGAGGTCAAAGAGGTTGCTGCCTGTGTTCTCCTCAAGGATTTTGATGGATTCCTTTCTCACATTGAGGTCCTTCATCCATTTTGAGTCTATTTTCGTGTGTGGTGTAAGGAAATGGTCCAATTTCATTTTTCTGCATGTGGCTGTCCAGTTTTCCCAACACCATTTA